GTGTGTGTGTGTGTGTGTGTGTGTGTGTGTGTGTGTGTGTGTGTGTAAGAAGTCCTATGACTTATAGGCATATTACACTTTTCTTTGCTAGATGGTGGCAGCCATTAAAAAAGAAAGAATTGCCGTACTTGATATCTGCGACCGCGCAGCTTTCTTATTCACTACAGATTCTCAGTATGGGGAAAGTGGTGGTATCTCAGAGATGACTGACAAGAACTGAAATACAATTATCACTGTATTTCTGAACTGATTTTAAAATACATTTTAAAATAAATACTTCACTAATGCTTTTTAAAAAATTTTCAGGGTATACAACATGTTGATCACTTTGGTTTTATTTGTCGGGAATCTATTGAACCTGGGATAAACCAGTATGTTTGCTACGTGTTCCAGTGTGCAAGTGAATCTTTGGTAAGTAATTTACATAAACAGTTAGGCTTGGTATACACTACCAACTTATGCCAGTATAACCACATCGCTCAGGGGTGTGGAAAATCCTAACCCCCAATGTAGACAGTGCTATGTCAGCAGGATGGCTTCTCCTGGAGACAAAGCCACCACCTCTTGGGGAGGTGGAGTACCTGCACTGACAGGAGAAGCTCTCCCGTTGGTGTAGGTAGTGTCATCACTAGGCACTACCGTGTACTGCGGTACTGTAAGTGTAGATAAGCCCTCAGTTTTTCACATTTTGATAACCTCTTTCATCAGAGGATCTCAAAACACTTAATAATCCCTGAATCTCTGCAGCTATATGAAGTAGATAAGTGTTGTCCTCACTTTGCACATGGGTAAACTGAGACTCTGCGATTCAGTCTCTGCACTCTATTGTGAATGCACACCTATATACAGGTACAAGTACACGTGGCTATACTTAGTATCTGGACATGTCCTGGTGTTAGAATTTGCAGACACAGATGTTTACACTGGCAAAGTTCAGGTGTATGTGTTTGAGTGCACAAGTGGTGGCAAGGTAAAGGCTTAACTGAATATCTGACCATAATTAACTTGCACATTTTTATCTGTTGAGACTTAGAATCATAGGACTGGAAGGAGAGGTCATCGAGTCTAGTCCCCTGCACTCAAGACAGGACTATGTGTTATTTTAGACCATCCCTGACAGGTGTTTGTCTAACCTGCTCTTAAAAACCTCCAGTGATGGAGTTTCCACAACCTTCAGAGGCAATTTATTCCAGTGCTTAACCACCCTGACAGGAAGTTTTTCCTAATATCCAACCTAAACCTCCCTTGCTGCAATTTAAGCCCATTGCTTCTTGTCCTTAGAGGTTAAGGAGAACAGTTTTTCTCCCTTCTTCTTGTAATAACCATTGACATGTTCTTGAGTACCTTGGTGAACTGGGGCCAAATTACTAAATTAGTAACAGAGCTGGAAATAGAACTTGGATGTACTGAGTTCCAGTCCATGCTTCTACTACTAAGTCATCACGCTCCTTGCCTATGCTACGCACATCCTCCCATTTTCCAAATGTGGTTGCTCTCCTTTTTATTCCTAACTATTCTGAGAAATGAAATAGGAATGTCAGGTTTGAAGCAGAAATTTAGATCTATAATTGTTCTGCATAATAGACAGTTGAAATGTATGATATAAAAGATGTCAGTCAATTAGCCATTGTGATTATAAGACTCAGCATACTCAATTGTTAGATATGACATATATAAAGTAATGTCTTTGCTATATTTTCTGAGGGAGAGAGCGACAAGATGGTTGAGGTAATAATTTTTATTGGACCTACTTCTGTTGGTGAAACAGTTAAGCTTTCAAGCTGCACATAGCTCTTTTCATAATGTCAGGTACAAAGAAACCATATTAACTGATGGCTTTCTAACTTCTTAATGCTTCAAAGTGAAAGGTAAAATGCCATGAATTTATAGAAGAGATGCACTATTTCCCCTAATAAAGCAGGGCCTAACTGCTCATAATTAGAGAGAGTTTTAAAAAAAAGAAAGAAAAGGGGGGGGGGGGCCCTCTTAAATGTTTTTTAAAAATTTTTTTTTTTTTTTTTTTACTTTAAACAATTTTCAAAAATCAAAAAAATTGAACCAGTTCTTTAGCTGTCTGAAAAACAAAAATTGAATAAATGTTTGTTAAAATTTTTTCATTGAAATTCAAATTTTTGATCAATATGTTTAACAGATATAATTTTGACCAGCTCTAACTCACCTCAGAGCATTAAACAATGCCTAATTATTTGAGCATTATGGAGGACCACAGCAGTTATGGGGCTAAGCATTCTTAGCAATGCTTCAAACAATGTAGGGCAGTGATTCTCGAACTTTTGTACCGGTGACCCCTTTCACATAGCAAGCCTTTGAGCATGACCCCTCCTTATAAATTAAAAACACTTTTTTTTGTATATTTAACACCGTTATAAATGCTGGAGGCAAAGCGGGGTTTAGGGTGGAGACTGACAGCTCGTGACCCCCCCCATGTAATAACCTCGCGACCCCCTCAGGGGTCCAGACTCTCAGTTTGAGAATCCCTGATGTAGGGGTAGATCCTCAGCTGGTGGAAACCAGCATTGCCATAGGTGCTGGAAGTAGGGGTACCGGGGGGTGCTGCAGCACCTCTGGCTTGAAGTGGTTTCTGAGCATAGCTTTATTGGAGTCCATGGAACTATGCTGCTTTACGCCAACGGAGGATCTGACCCACTGTCAAAAATTGAGAGGAGAGAGAGAGAACCTATTGAATGTCCAAGAGAATGTCATTTAAAGAAAAATATGCCTTCATCTGACCTTTTGGTTAATTTGATCCCTGATAATCCACAGGTGACCTAAAAGAAAGGAGGTGGTTTACAAAGAAATAAAACCCTTCTCCTCAACTCCCTCACATATTTTAAGAGTTAAATACTCACTTGAGTGTAATATTATTAATGGGCAGAGGCCATGGAAAAGAGCCCTGCCATTTGGAAAAGCCGACTAGTAGGCTTTGCTGTTGTAGTCATGTCTGCATTCCACGAGCCTCGTGAAATCTTACAGTGACAGGACAAGAGTAAATTGAATTGTGAGATGTGAGAAACCCACTCAGAAACTATCAATAACATTAATCAAATAATTTTCATTTAACAACATTAAATGACATGCCACAGCACACAAACTGACTAATTCAAGCTTCCATGCCCATGCAAAGCTTTGCTTGAACAATTATGCTGGAGACCTGATGATCTACAGAACACTTTTATAATCCCACGTTGAATGTTAGAAGACTGCTTGTAGACAGAAACCTGAACATGCAGTCACATTCCATCCCTCACAAACGTGCTTCACAGAAAAGTGATAGATGGCAGCAAAGGACTAGATCTAAAGTACAATATTTGAAAGCCCTCTAAGAACTGAACAGGAAATTTCAACAGTTTTCTTCTGTCAGGCTGAAACACAGAAGTGGGCTGTTTGCTTTTAATAGCAGTGTGTCCTTAAAATACATAAGGGGGAAGGAGACTCTGAGAAGTCTGTCCACAAAGGATGAAAGTGCATTTAAATATCTATCCCAGTTGAGGAGAAAATGATCACCTCTGACCTCTTTCCCAAGCAAAATAGAGATTGGCCCTACCCAGTGCTGCAGCGTGTGGGAACACTGCATAGCTGTATTTGTGATGCTGTGAGAGGAAAGAGCAGGGCATAGACTAAAGTCTGGAAAACAATACATAAGGATTACTTGTTGGTTACAAAGAAACTTATAGCTTGTCTTTCAAATCTTTTGATCCAAGTGAGTAAGGGATCAAGAGAATAAATAGGCTGTCCCTAAAGTTTCTGACATACTAACAGGATATAACTGCAGCAACAGATCAAAAGCATTTTGTTCATAGAGACTTTGTATCAGGGCAAATGAAAACTATTTTAGGAAAAAAGCCATACATAACTCTCTCTGTGAGAGGGGGCAATAAAGGCCCCTTACTCTTAGGATCACTACTGCAAGTTATGTACCCAGGCAAGCTAAAATGCAAATTGCATAGAAGCAAATTGGCAGAAGTGGAGGTCCTCATATGCTCATTGCAGCTACTGGAAGGTAAAAAAGTTGTAACCTCTGGGCGCAATAAGAGACCCAATTTTCAAGACTGAGTGCTTAAAATTACATATTTATGGCCTGATTTCTCTTTCCTCCCTCCCCCGCCCTTTCCCCTGGGGTTCTCATTTTCAGTGGGAGCTGTGAATGTGCAACATTTCAGAAATAGACCACTAGATTCCCACAGGGATCTAGAATCCTGTGTGGTAAATTTTCAAAAGTGCCTAAGGGCCAAATTTGTAAAGGTGTTTAGGCACCTAAAGATGTAGCTAGTCATGTAGGTGCCTAGTGGGATTTTCAAAAGGGCCTAACTCCCATTGATTTCAATGTCCCTTGTCTAAAATCCTCTTGAAACCAGTAGTAAATTAGGAATAGAACCTTGTTCTCTTGATCACTAGACTACTGAACTTTTATGATAGATCAGTGTATGTAGTATGAACAGGAAACAACATTCCTAATAAAAAAGCACTTAATCGTGGAATGACTTAAAAGTCTGATATGATGTATATGACATATTTTCACTTTTATACTGTCTTGTAAAACACCCAGACTTTTCATAGCCTGTTTTATTTTTTCTTTTCCTTCTAGGTTGATGAGGTAATGCTTACCCTGAAACAAGCCTTTAGCACTGCTGCAGCTCTACAGAATGCCAAGACTCAGATTAAACTGTGTGAGGCCTGTCCTATGCACTCATTGCATAAACTCTGTGAAAGAATTGAAGGTAGCATTTCCGTTTATTTTAAATTCATATAGAAGATTTTCTGTTTTCACTCCAGAATCGTCACAGTGCATCAGCTCTTAGTTTAATTCAGGGGTAGGCAACCTTTCAGAAGTGGTGTGCCGAGTCTTCATTTATTCACTTTAATTTAAGGTTTCGCGTGCCGGTAATACATGTTAACGTTTTTTAGAAGGTGTCGCTCTCTAAGTCTATATTATATAACTAAACTATTGTTGTATGTAAAGTAAACAAGGTTTTCAAAATGTTTAAGAAGCTTCATTTAAAATTAAATTAAAATGCTGATCTTACGCCGCCAGCCTGCTCAGCCCGCTTCCAGCCTGGGGTTCTGTTCACCTAGGCCTGCAGCGGGCTGAACAGGGCCTGTGGCCGGGACGCCGGCTGGCAAGGGGCC